CTCGGCGCGGGGCTCTGCAGCGCCTGGGACATGGGAGGGCTGAGGCTCGGACCGCGTCAGTGTGTGCCACAGCCGCTCTGCTCCGTGACCCAAAGATTACCGAAACCGCGAGGACTGGCACTTCAGCAAACCTTGGTGTTAAGCAGCAGAGAACCTGAAAACCCGTGGAGGGGCTCACGTGGGGAAGCTCAGTGTAACCGTACGTTACAGAGACCTCCCTCTTGGTTGTAACTCCCGTTTGTTTCTGTTCTAGATAAACATCTGATAAAAGGAGATGGTGGAAAGACAGTCGTAAGTATCTGTATTTTGTTCAGAAAACTTTGTACACCGTGCGGCCTCTGACTGTGGTGTAACCCGAGCGTATGTACACTGGCAACGGTTGGCGGTGGCCGTTCTGCGGGGCGGTGTCCGGGCGGTGGGTCCCTCGCCGGGTCTCGGTCGGTGCAGGCCGACGCTTGTCCAGTCCCAGAAACTGCAGTAAGGTCGCGAGGGATTTGTGCCAGTGCATGGTGCTGTGTGGGGACAAGTGACGGTCTGGGGCCATGCTGCGTCTGCAGCCTTGCAGTTGCTCTGTCCAACCCTGCCTGTGCGTTTTGGGAGGTGTTGTTTGTTTGTTTGCTTTTTATCTGGAATCACATCATAAATTATTTTAAAGCAGCTATGAATTATTTTAAGGCAGCTGAAACTAAATTCCCTTTAATTGGGAAGGTTTCTAAAAATAAAAATGTAATACAACTTAAGGTTTACGCGATCTGTTTAATGATGCCAAAATGATTACTTCGTTTGGCATTTATTTTAAGTTGAAAGTTAAGCTGAGGTCTGCGAGGGCGAGTTGTGGGCGGCAGCGTGGTGTGGGCATGGGAGGAGGGGCAGCAGCAGCTCGGTAGCCCCCCTCTGACACCGGTGGGAAGGGGCTGGGGTGTGGAAGCAGGGGGGCAGCTGGCTCTGCAGGGCTCCCAGGCAGCGAGGGTGCCCCATGCCTGGCAGAGAGACCGTGGTGTGCCGGGAGGGAAAAAGGGGTGGTCTGCGACAGGTCGCAGCACCCAGACTGATCCCCAGTGTCTTCCTATAAAATAATCTGTTTACGCTGTAAGAAAATAATGTGATTGATATGGAAAGATTATATTTTGACGTATGCCGTTTACTACTACGCGATAGCATGGTTTTTAAAAGATGGTACTGTATTTCATCAGATCTGTATCGAGGGGAACATTGCAAGTGGAAAAACAACATGCCTGGATTATTTTGCACAAACTACCAGCATTGAGGTACTGGATTTATGTTTCTTTGTCTTCATCTACATCATTGAGCAGCTGCTTGTCTTGACAAAATTGACAGGTTTAGAAGTGGTGTCCTCTCTGAAGTGAGTGAGAAAGGAGCAGCAGGCTGTGAGCCGCTGCACCTATGGGCGCACGTATTTGGCCCCCTCTTCCCCTCGCTATTTATAGTCAAATTGTAGAATAGAAATCTAGGTCACATGTCGTATAGGACTGGATGCTAAAACACCAGAAAACCTGTGGGTTAGAGTTTGTACTGCTGTAAAGTAACAGCAGCCCACATGGGTTGGGCATGTTTGGGCATGCTTGTTTGCTGTTTCATGTCACTTAAATCTTATATGTATCTTGTCATAAGCAAAGATGAAGAAGTAATGATGTAAAAATACTGCTGTCATGTAAGTGAGATCCCAGTAAATGGATGGCTTTTTAAAAAGTGAAAAACCTGTAAGAATTTTTTTCTGGGGATTCCTAAGACTGGTATGGTTTTGTTTTCATATTGCTTAGAACAAGATTAGGGGAAGGGCGGGCGTACTGTTTTTTTTAACAAAATTGAGGTCAAACCTCAGTGAGCAATTGCTTTTGTGTACATCAGATGTTAATACTTTTCTCAGTGGACCTGGGAACACATTTGTGAAGTTGTAGGATTCCTCATAGAAATGCTGGGTTGCCAGATGTTGTTTGGTATTTTAGCAGGAATGATCCTTATGGAATAAACAGCTATTAGCCCAAAGGATAGCAAACTTTAATTTGCATATAGCGCAATATCTTTTAAAAAGCTAGTTAACTTCCCAGGCTTACCAGATTCTCTTAGGCTGGGCTCTACAGTGTCATTGGAGGTTTAGCCTGTTTGGACCAGATAAGACTCCTGTGATTTTACCTATTAAGGGTAGAAGCTTTTCTGATGCATTTTATGGAAGTTTTGAATACATCTTGTTTGCTAGATCACAAAAATAAAATGAAAAGTTATATGATAGCATTCTAATCCTCTTCCTTTGCTGACAAGTGTTACTCTCCGAGAAATTAATTTGTGAGGGAGCAGGTCGTTGAAATGCAATTAGTACTCAGCTAAGACATTCTTTCCTTACATCGTACTGATTTTGACTCAAAAAATTGAAATTATATCCAGGCTTGTTAGATAATTAGTCCAGTGTTTTATTTTGGCCGTTTAAAAATGCTAAAAAGATGTTGTATAATGATATTTCTCTATTTTTTGACAGTGTTTGTTATTACCTTGTATTGTATTACAGGGTTCAGTGCTGTTTTTTGAAGAGGGGTGAGCTTTCCAATAGAAGTCCTGAATACTCTGACTTACAGAATCAGTATTCATTAAAAATAGTTGTAGATTTGTAGGGTCATATTAAGTATTTTGAACTTGAAACGTGTTTAACATGGAGTAATTCTTCTTAACAAGGTTTTGACAGAACCAGTAACTAAGTGGAGGAATGTTCGTGGTCATAATATCCTGGTAAGTGGCAGAAATTAATTCTAGAATTACAATTACTGTTCTTTTAGAAAGACACGCATGAAGACTCTTTACCAGTCAGCAAAGGTGTGGTCATAATCTCATACAGCAAAAAATAAAGCTTCATGAGGCAGAAGATCTTTTGCTGTGATTAAGACAGGCATATAATAGAAACATTGCGTATAAAGCGTGGTTTTAGCAAGAACTGGGTCTTTTACTGGTTGTGAGCTAAAGAAATTCACAGAAAGGTAAGTCCTGAGTGTGACAGTTGTTTCTAAATCTACTTACGCCTGTTTGGAAGAAGGGAAGAGAGACATTCAGAGTGAGGGGTGGGTCTGATCAGTTAATATTGTTCGACTGCTGAAGATGAGATTCAGTCCTGCGAGGTGTTGAGAGCTTCTGTTGTCGTTTGGGTAGTGAGTGTTTCTTCGAACCGTTCCCCACAAGTATGTCCTTTTGTCACAGCCCTGCTTGGAGATGGCCGGGGCTCTGACTCCGTTGGCAGATACGCTGTTGCTGGGGTGATTGGGGTGGTTGAAGTGGTTTCTGATGTCAGTCTTCCATGATTGTCTGATCACCTCCAGAAATCTCATCACTGGCTGAGATGGGCATCTGTGCTCCAGCTCACATGGAATTTGCTGTCAACACAGCGGTGTGGATACGCCCTGGACCACACCTGCCCAAACGTGTATTTGATGCAATTACTGCTAGCGTAGGTCCTCTGGAAAAGTAAATGCTCTCTCCAAGGAGTTGCTGATGCTTTACTTTCTTGTTATCAGTAAAGGGGTGGGGTGTGGCTGTGTCACACATCATCGCAGCAATCTGTGCACTTCAGAATACTTTCTGGTCTTGGACAAAGAGAGTAGAAAGAGGTCAGGTCTGTGGACTGACGCCCTGCTGCTGACGTAGAGTTTGTCACCGCAGCAAATAGACAGCGAGTGATGTCTTATTTTGAGTCAGATCTTCTCTCTGCTTTGCAGGGTACATGGTTGCTTGTAAGTGTTTGTGTGTTTGTGGAATTGCAGCAATCAAGAAAGAGTGGAAGATCTGAGAACTGCTTTGAGGATCCTTTGGGAAGAACAGTTGTCTGTGTTAAAAGACACATTTTCTGAGGTCCAGACCATACTTACTGGAACCCTGTATGCATTTCTGGATGGACTGAGAGTCTATCAGCGCACAAAAAAAGAGTAGTAGATACCTTTTTAAAATTACTAAACGTATTTGAACTGTCTTAAATGAGCTGTGCCTTGGTCTTGACCGTTCCAGGTGCAGTGTAACTAATTCCTGTTGACTTCAGTAAGCGTTCCAAGTGCCCCGCTTAGGGTCTGTGAGGACCAGGACTGTAATTCTTACATCTGCATTGTGGAGAGCAAATGAGCATTTAATTCTTGTTGGACCTGGTGTCAGCTGTTTTTGTGCACTGCTTTTAGCAATTTTGTTGTAGGTGAAAAGCTTATGAAATACTCAACTTCACCTTTTTTTGCTCTTTGACCTAACAAAAATGTCTGTCTCGCTTCCACCTCTAACCCCAGGGCTTAATGTACCAAGATGCATCGAGATGGGGGATAACACTGCAGACTTACATACAGCTTACAATGTTGGAGCAGCATACCAGACCAATGGTAAATAAACATATTTTTCTTTCCATTTAAAAGAGACTTAGATAAGGTTATGAGTAATAAGTATTTTTAACCTTGTATCCAGAAGTTAAGATGCTGTTTGCAAAGACGTTGTTGATGTGCTCGACACGTGCTCCAGGAGGGGCGAAACATCTGCCTCCTACCTGATCAGAACTTTTACTTCCCAAAACTAATACTGCTTTCTTTTGCACAGTCCTTATGAGCAAGACTTGCACATACCTCTTCATCATCGCACGTCAGTGACTTGTCTGTAATTGGTCTCTATATGTAGCTATTCAAACCTTTGGCAAACATTAGGTAATCTTAAAGATACTATTGTTGTTCATTCTACTGCTCCATGCTGGTTAGCGCAATTTTAGCCATTGCTTCTCGTATTTGTCCAAAATACTCCCACTAAAATTTTCTATTGCTTTTTTTCAGATGTTTTGCATCCTTTTTTGCTTACATTTTTTTTTTCTGTAATTTTACCTTTTTTAGTAGGATCTGTTAGTTTCTCTTTCCTTCAGACACCTTTTGATACCTTCTGTGCCAAGTCTTCCATTCCCTGATCACAAGATCAGATCTTGGGTGGCATGCTTATATCTTAATGACTGATCTTGCGTTATGTTTTCTGAGTTTGTGTCAGGGCAAACTTTCAGAATTACCACCTATGATAGCGATACCACACATATAATCATCAGCTTTTTTGAAGAGGGTGTTTTCCAAGATGATAGAAATCTCACTCTGTTGCAGAAAAAGCTCGTTCAGAAAGTCCTGAGGGTCGCCCTGCATTTCAGCCTGCGCTTTGCTGTCATTTGCCATTCGAGCCTTGCTGGAGCAATTGTTGCTTCCATGGTCGTTAATGTGGGGAATAGCATTAATTGGAAAGAGCTCTGCCAGGGCTGCCGTGCTCTGCAGGGGCCAGCTGGTGTCGGAGAATCTCTCTTCTCCAAAACGAAGCGCTGGCTAAGGCCAGTGCTCTGTCAGTTGTAATTATTTCTTTAAAAAGTTCTGTTTTGTTGTTACAGTTGTTCTGATGTTAGGCCTGTGCTGTTGACACAGCAACACACCTGAAAGTGGCAGCAATTCTGGTAGCAGTAGTTCCTGTTGCTCTGCAGATCCTAAGTGGATTGCTGCTTTTTTGTCCCCCTGGTTAACTCCGGCTGCTCAGCTGAACGCTTCTGCA